ACTCATTTTTGCTATATACATAACAATAAATAACAAGATTTCTTGAAATTTCAATTATTTATTATAAAATTTGAACATTGCCGTACAATTGGAAAACATTTAAAACATAGAACGCGCATAATTAATTTTGCAGAAAAAAAGCAACTACACTTGCCTCCGATTTCTCACTGTAGCATGAAATATTTCTTAAAAATACTTTATTTATAAAATGAAATTCATAGTGTGCGTTCAATTTATGTTTTAAATGTTTACGTTGATTTTCATACATAACAATTATACAACAATGTCCAAATTTTATAATAATAATTAAAACTTTAAGAAATCTTGTTATTTATTATTGTATATAATAAAAAATACAATTATTAGTATTTTCATTTAAAAGAAAAGAAGAACAATTAATAACATTATAAAATATGATTGTTACTTAAAAAAAAATTGACACTGTGGGAATTTGAACTCTCGTCGGCCGGATAAAAAAAAGTATAATCGTGCATCTCAGTTCGCTCAACTATAAGTCGCTTTCTTGTTTTACCGACGCATAGTCCCAATACTTATACAGTTGATCAGACATCCAACTTTAATTGCGGTTTTCTCAAAATCAAAAGCCCATCCATCCCTCAAACCCTTTTACAATGTTAATACACGTAATGTACTTCGAAAGCTCCTCTTTCGAATGAGCTATAGCTCATCCCATTTGACACTTTACAATTCCTACCATCTCGTTAATTTTTTACAAAGATAAATCATACTTTGATTTTTACACAAATTAAATATTAATTTGATTAAAAATAATGTATACGAATGCAGTAAAACCTCGATTATCCGATATCACAATTATTTGCCTATGCATTATTTGAACCCCGATTATCCGACATCAATTTTTTGCGTTTATAATAACCTAATCTGAAAAAAAAGTTGAAAGCACTTAATTCTCGTCATCTAGTGAGAGTTAGCAGAAACCTCAGAATATAAAAATAAATTGTAAATGATATAACATTGTTGTTTATTTCTCTATTTATCCATGTATTGTATATGTATACTCGTATTACGAGTGAAGTGCATGATGCAGGTCGGCATTGCACAACGTGATGTGTCAATGATATTACATGTTTATTCCGTAGATGGCTAAATAAAGTAAAGTCCGAAAATATTGATTTTAGAAGTGGCAGCAGCAATTCAGAAAGATAAAAATTATGAAGTTCTAGGATTGTATGAAATACCAATAGAGACCAATAGACCTAAAATTGTTAAATGACAATGAAATAGCAAAGTTAACAATGATATTCAATCATATCGATCAAGAGAGATCCTCCGAAAATGTACATTCCGGAGGAATGGATCCTTCCAATCAACATTCATGCCTTTACCAAAGAAATGTAAGTCGAGCATATGCTGATTTTTGTTTAATCAGCTTAATGAATCTGAAGATCCTATTAAAAGTAATACAAGGGAGTCCGTTGTAAGAACATTTGAGCGCCTCGTAATTCAGCTTTCAGGACGGTCTTAGAACAAGGGAAGCACTGTTCCGTATGAACGTATTGGTGCAAAAAAGTAAGGAATTTCAGAAATCAGTTTACATCTATTTTATTGATTCCGAAAAAGCTTTTGAGTGCAACACAAAGTTCTACTGTATGCATATAAATATATTTGTATATATTTTTAAATGTCCTTTTAGTTCATTTCGAAGATTACGCTAATTTATAAAGAACTCAAGAAGACAAATTCTTTTCAAGTTCAAATGGATCAATCGTACTATCTGGAATGCTTTTTCCAAGTAGAAGAATCCCCCGTAAATTCCTCCACGTACATGTCAAAACAACGTGTTTAAGATTGGCTCAAGTTATTCATCGTGCCAAGATCAATCCAGCAGATCTAGCGTCGAGCATGAATTGTTCGCCATCTGAACTTGACACAACGATTTGTCGCATACATTACAAATGTCGCGCCTGCATCTGCCACGTTGACAGACAGCGATGGTGAACAGTGTATATTTGCGTAAATTGCCGTTGGCCACGAAATGATAGCTGTCCCGTTCGAGCGTATCAACGTTAAAATCTATTTCTAGCTAAATGATGTACCACAATGTATCCAATCTGTATGTCAGGAAATGAGGATTAAACAAGCATCTATCAGTTGAAAACAGAAATGTTCTATTTAAAGAACTTCACAAAATTACTCTTGTAATAATCAATAAAATTAAATCTTTTCTTTTTAATTATAAGAATAAGATCGGCAACACAGAACTCTATAAATATTAAATAAAAATATAATTTACGTAAAAGTACTGCTTGATCTTTGCATGTTAAAATATCGTGTAATTAATATATAAAGTCGTAATATATTAATTAAGTCGTAATTAATATATTAATATATAAAGGTGAATGCGTACAAAAAATGTTTAAAATTGATTAGGCACAATGATGGTTCTATAAGAATGTTTCAGCCAAAATCCTCGTATCAAGAATCATTCCATTTAAGTAAACAAAGGTCAGTTTTTTCATGTCTGCCGATCTAGAAACGCTCTCATCCGTTCTTACTGATACGCGGCAGTTGGTAAATTGGATCGATGAACGGCATCGAGTAACTCAAGTGCTTCCTCTTCATCGCACTGACTTTTCAAGCTACTTTTAGAGCTTGGGACTATTCTCGTAATACTATTTAACAGCTTCGGCACGTAGCGTTCACGTCGATGCTGTAACAGCACGGCGCGCACACGGAGTCGTGCTACGCATTCAAGATTTTTTTCACATTTACATAATTACGATGTGAAAAGGAGCACACGCTTGAGAAACGATGGCTTTTTATAATTACATCGTGGGATCGATTAATTACGTCGGAAATCCAACAAAATAATTATTTGTGAATAATTTAATCTCTTTGCCTTGCAAATTATCGTACATAATATCTTTAATAACATTTTATCTTCACACATATATAAAATGACTTATGTTATGCAACGATTACATCAAACTTGCACTTTTCACGTTATTGAAATACTGCTGACATTTTTCGACTTATGCTGATAAATCATTAGTAATTACTCTGCAATGTAAAATTGCTCTGAATAGTCCAAAAATAATACAACAATTTAATTAAATATTATTTTTATCTGATTTTTACAATCAGAAATACGTAACATGCATTTATGTTAAATTAATTTTAGAAACATTAGTAACATTTAATGTATCACATGGTGTATATGTACGACAGTATTGAAAGAAAGAAAAAATCAATATTACAAACGAGAGAGAATTTATATTGCGGTGCACTTCCGCTAAAAATAACAAATTCCAGAATTCTATTTCTTCAGGGATTCATCAGTGAAAAACGAAAATATGAAGAAATAGACTATTAATTAAAGCGATTGTCCGTCGAGGACAATAAACAATATTACGCGTTGTATATTTAACAAATATCGTCATTAGCATGCGGAAATACGTGGTCGTGATTCAAACGTGCGAATAATTCCTGCATGTTGTAGGGAAGTTCCGGCCCATGAGCAAATGAACGAACGAATGTAGGGAGAACAACGACGATTGTTTCGCGGCCTCGAGCGCGTAAGTGACGTGGGAACGATCGATTATCGAGCCGTTTGCCGCAACAAATATGCGTAATGCTGATTTTGCGGTGTATCCTGACATCATCATTATTGTTCGTATTCGCATGCGTGCTTCCAATGAGGCATTCGGCACAACACAAAGTTTCTAAAACTGTTTAATCTATGTGTGTTTCCTCTATAGACACGCGGCAATATCGACGTGTACGAATGGCAAATTTTCACACTTTTGGAATGAGATTCACTCTAAAAAAGAAGTGAGATTTCTTTTCTTTGGAATGAATTTCATTCCAAAACATTGAAAATCTGCCACTCTTATTAGAGTGCAAATTTTTCACTTTTTTTTTTAATAATGGCAGGTTAATTCGTTTCTTGAGTCGCGCTTAAATATTGATAATTAAATTGATAATTTAATTGATAATTAATTACAATCAAGATTGCATGTTAACAATGTATCAAAAATTCAAAATATTTTATACATCAAAAATTCGATAGATTTCGGATGTTTCTATATATGCACAGGCTTTAATGTATTTGGAGTTCGTGAGAATCCCAACTTGTACATCACACTATGTTCCAATAATGTCGTGCTAGCTAGAATATCAAATTTTAACACGATGTACTCAGTGAGAGCTTTCTGACAAGTAACGCATGCGCTCGATCAAAGAAATTTAGTTTCGACGTTCGAAGATAAGCGAGATGTATCCTATTAAGAAACGAGGGCAACCGGTTTAAAAGCTTGCCAGTGTCGAGTAAATCGACCCTAGAAAGATGGATTTTTTAATTATGTAGAGAGAGTAAATTTGAATTTGACTTTTGAGCAAACCTCTGATAGAGAAGTTCACAGAGAATCAGTGATTGACCAAAAAAGAAGTTTTCATTCGCCCATCCAAACATTCTCTTTTTAAATCATCGGTATCCAAGAAAATAATTGCCGGTGTATTATTTACATTTGTTAAAATAAATATAATTACTATAATTATAATATAGTTCTAATTATTAAATATAAGCGATTAGATTTCAGTATGGCGACGAATTTAATTTTCAATGTTCTATAAAAAAATCAAGCTTTACAATAATCGTCTCATCTTCATTTATTAGACAAAAAATGTAAAAATTATTCTTTACATTTTCCGGCTGTGTATTAACAAAATTTGCAGCATACTGAAACTGAATCAATGTAAACCTCATAAATAACCACATGGAACAGATACGTTGATGTCAACACACAATAGTTGATCGAACTTATCGCTTAATTTAATTCTCAGACTGACTATTTTATATAACGAAAATGTCCGAAAACAGATATTTTCATGTTAAACACGACTTTACTTTTTACCCGCGGAATATAACCATGTTTACTGGTAGCAACTCTGATGATATATGCATGTACTTCAAGAAATGGGATAAGTATATATAATACAAGGTGATAAATTGAACTCACTCTCATCGGTCTGCGGCGCGGAGAGAATGGCGCTGTGCTTTTTCTTCACATCTTCCACGTTTGTCTGGATCCTGTCTATCATTTCGCGGATCTCCTCCACCTGTGGAAAAACACACGAGTCAGCAGTTGGCTTAAACAAATTTGTGTTTCGTAAAATCGATATTATGACAAATTTTTGCATATTTATTAATCAAGTTCTTCTGACAGAATGATGTAAAATTTAAAAATCTTGACACAGTTAGTCATGTTAGTCTAAATTGATATTTTGTTTGAAACATGTCTCTTAAAATTGAACTTGAGCAACTTTGGATAAGAATTAAAATATAAGATCTAAATATCTCTTTAAGATTTTTTAATGTTACAGTCTTTAAAAGTAATTTATTATTGACTCCTAATAATTCTAATTATTGTATGTACAATATATAATAAAACATAAATTAAGAAATTATTAGATACATATTTCCGAAATTAATATTTCATTAATTTCAATAATATAAAAATATTATCTTTAATCAAAACAATTAACTCGTTAAAAGGTTAATGAGTAAATAAATGCTCAATTGCATTGCTGATAAAAGTGGACAAATTAAATAGACATAGTCAACACTACGTCGGATACTACTCTACTTAAATAGTATAAGAACGAGTAGAGCTCGTAGTGCAAGTAGTATAAACCGCATTTAGTCAGACGGGTACATTGCTCTTAAGTCCACATATAATTTTTAAGACTAATTTTTAAGAAAAAATATAATATGAAAAGATATAAAAATTCACAAAAAATTTAGAATATTTGTATCTAAATATTTGAAAATATTAGTAAAGTGCCCTTTAATATAAATTATCTTCTTTAAAATAAATTAAAGATTTCGTTAATGAGAAAGTCTGCAATGGCGACGAGCAATTTTGTCAAAATAAAAATAAGAAAATAGAATATATGTACCATCTTTTTTTATATATGCTATCTCATTCCAATTTATACTATCTTACTCATTCTAACTTACTGAATTTGACAAAAACGATAGGCCAATGAAAAAATTGTCATCTCTTGAATCTGTTATAGGGTTATAGTATTAGAATCTTTAATATAAGTGATATAAATCATTAAATTTATCAACATACACTAATTCCCATGCACAATTATTTTGACAACAATTAAACTAAAATGCCTATATAAAAGTGCTACAAAGGATGACATGTAGCCTTAAAGTAAATAAATGTCGTTCCATTTATCGTAAAAAATATAGATCTATGTAAACCTGGCACCCAACTTAAAAAAAAATTTTTTAATACGCATTAAATTAAATTCAGTTTACCTGTTTGTTTTCCTTTTCATTTATACTTCAAGGATTTCAAAATTATAAAGAATTGAAAAAATGCCAACATCCCACTTTTGAGATATTTTAAATCTGTAAACGGGTGCTGTTTCGGGATCATTTGTATCCGTTTGTAACACCACCAGTTTCATTACCCTTAAGTGATTGTATCGAATTTTCAAAACAAGGGTGAAAGCTAATTTCGCCATTTTCTAAGATATTTTAATTTTGTACTGTTTCGGGTGCTGTTTCGCCATGACTCAACCGGTGTGTTTGCCAGACCATCTTCACTCCACGCATTGAGCGATCGATGGGTGTATATTAGACACTTGACAATAATAGATCGGGCAAACATGTTTATTCGATTATTTTTAAAAATTAATATCTCGTTTATTTATTACTATTGCGAAAATTACAAAATAGTAGAAGACTTTTCGATTCAGTTCAATGCGCTCTACCTGCTCACGAGAAGTGATCCCGGGTTGAAGACACCATGTATACGTATACATATATACATTATGTATATACATATTTATTATATATACATATATTATATACAGAATGTCCCGAATTTCAATGACCAAACTTCGGAAACGTGTAGAGAATTATCGCATGTGAATTACAAATACGATCCAAAAGTAAAATTTACGTTTGAAAAAAGTATGTGTGCAATACATTTACAAGAAACTGCATCTTGTTTCTCAAACAGGTGTATTTATACGAGTAAAAACATTTTACCATAGAACAAGCTTGCAAGACGCAATCGATAAAATACGAAAGCCTCGTTTAAAGATTCTGGCGCAGAATTTTTATGAAATGCTGTTTCGCCAGAGTCATAGAATTTTATACGGAGTGTTTCGTTATCTTATGATATTTATATCGATACGTATAAAAAGAAGCGAAAAGAAGAACTGTGCATTATCCTTGTTAAGATCGATATAATCTTGCTAATACTGGTTTAACCTACTTCTATTTTTTTTTTACTGTATTCTTTTATATTTTCGGTCACATCACATTGTCGGAAATGAATATGCAGAAGCAACAAATTAGTTAGTTACTTACCTCCGCGAAAAATTCCGTCATGAAGTCATCCGGCGCCCCGACGTTGACGGACACATCGTCCGCCACATCGTCATCGTCCGACTGGGCCTGTACAAGAAATACAATTATTAGAAACAGGATACTACAATAATTTCTTAATACTTTTTTGTAACTAATGTAACAACAGACTAATAAACAACAATTAAAAAACTTCATTTAATTATATTAAATCATATATTTAAATAATGTAATTCTAGTTCATTAAAATAATAATCTATAATTCGGTATCTCTATTTTATACTTGTTTATATAACTTAAAAATGTTCATTTATAATAGCAGAGTATAGCTGAGATTTTCAGATATACAAGAAGTTTAATAATTAAACAATAAGAATCTTATTGGACCATACATGTGAATACACAACCAATAGAAAATAAAACCCATAATAAATCGAAGCTGGATTTTTAATGCTTAAATAACTCGATGTGACTTTATAAACTACGCATCAAATCCTATCAAATTGCGCGCTAAATTGATTTTTTTTGGTGTAAAAAAATACATAATTGCTTTAAAAAGAATATGTAAAAGAATATGTAAAATGGATAATTTTTTAAATAAGCAACTATGCATTTCTTTACACCAATTGATTCATCTCATTATCTTATTTATAAAAGTATTAAGGTACAATTATAAAAAAATTAATAGTATACGAAATATTTAATATTTCATGTCAGACTAAAAAGTATAAAATATCTCGTAAATTATTGATGTATCTCCTTAATATTTTTATATGCAGAATAATTAGAGGAATATCATATTATGTAAAAAAAATTACATAATTCTATTTAAAAAAATAAAGATCGCCTTAAAATCTTAGAGTGTACACTTAAAGAGGATCTGTGATCATCAAAAAATGTCCCCCTCGAAACAAAATAAATTCCAGTTGAAATTTTTTTGAAATAACAAATAATTTAGAAGATAAATTCGAAGATTCAACTGGGACACTTTGTGTGTGCATGAGAGTTAGTGAGCTCTATCACAACTGGAACTTTCCCTATACTAAACTATAGAAAACTGCAGCCCGAGAGAGAAAAGGAAAAACAATATTGATCTTTCTGACTCTTTTCTACTTATGGCAGTAAAACAGCATTAACCAATCAGCGAATGCCTGACAAAGAAAACAGTACCAACTTTACATTAGAGTGTCCTTATTTAGAAATTGAAGCACCCTTACTCCTCGATGACTCCCTTCAGTATTATAGAACTTCAGTATATTATATTATAGAACTCACTGGTGAGAGTACATGAACTTAAAGAGTACATGACGCTGCCATCAAACATAACAGTGAAGTCGATAGTCTAGATATAGAAGTCTGTGTGTAAAAGCATAAAAACAGAAATATATGCATGATTATAAATTGCAGATTTCATCTACGATTGCGTATATGTATTGCGTGTATTTAATCTCTGATTTCCCTCCTTGATAACAGTGACTTCTCACGTAATATCATGATATAATCGATTTCATTCGAGTAATGATCATGCCCTCGATAGCATAATCTCATGCGTTGAAATGAACAAATTATCATTATAACATACAAATTAGGAAATATTATTTTATTTTAAAAAATAAAATGATATTTAATAAAATAATTAAAAGCGAAATCGCTTTTACTTATTTTCTTATAGTTTTCTTACAATTTATTAACTGAGACTTTTACAAATTTCAGAAAAAATTATGACGATTTCACATATAAAATTCATAATCATTTACAAAAAGAAAATTATGATATACTGAAATCATGTATTTGTAATTAAAATATTTTAAATGTCATTAATATGAAATAATAAAAAGTAATAAAGGCTGTGGGAATCAACGCAGTTATTAGTACGATTATCTTATATTTATTTAGGTAGTTCATAAACCTTGGTGTGATTTCGATGAATGCAATACAATAGAATTGACGTTTCGACTCCTCTTTGAGTCATCCTCAGAATGAATTATCCATTATTAGAAATTCTTGTTCCGTAATTAAATTCTTCGTGTAATGTGTGGGTTTCCCAACAGTTAACAGACTATTGGAATCACAACTGAAACCGAATACGAATTGGAGAAACACGCACAATACATTGGCAATTACAATTATTTTTTTTTTAATATTCCTCCTACACTCATAAGCGCCACACTTCATTATACAAATAAAAATACATGGGTAACAAAAATTTTTTCGTAGCAGATAATCATACTGATAAATGATAATAAATTTCGAGAATATACGTGCAGTGTACGTCTTGACACAACGGTTTCTAAATGAAGACTTATTAATGTGAATCACATTACATTTTTATATTATCTTATTTTATCTTATTTTATCTTTCGTCTTATCTCATTTCATTATATATTTTTTTTGTATGCAGGTAAATAGACTGTTATCAATTAATCTTAAGAAAATCATCAACTATAATACTTTATCGCCTACATTGAACAATTCTATTCAATGAATAAAGATTAATTAAATCACTAATTGAATTATGATGACTTATTCATATTTTAACAATTTATTTTTATTACAAATATAAAATAAGAAAACATAGAAAACAGATAAAGGAATAAATTTCGCATTGTCTTTAGAAAAAAATCAAATTTGGAAAAATGTGAAAGAATTGCTCATATATAATTATATATAAAATTATGCATAGTTATGTATGAACAATTTTTTTTACAATTCTCCAAACTTGATTTTTTTCTAAAACAAATAATGTGATATCTCTTTAATTACTTTTTATTATTATTATTTTTAGTACACTAAAAAATAATTTTACAAAATATTTATACATGTTACATTACAAGTATATATGTTTATACATGTTTATATATATATTCATGCATAAAAAATATTTTTTTATCGGGATATTAAATAATCATAGTTAAATTTTTGTCAATTTACAGTAACGCGTTTTAAAACTGCACGATAATTTTAAATAATTGTAACTTTACGTAAATTTAATCTTAGTATAAATTAATGAAAGCATATTGCATCTCACAATTTATAAAATGTTGCAAAATTACTTTTTATTGCTTCTCCGATTTGTTACCTGCTTTCTCAACTCAACTCATAGCATATAAGATAACATTGATCATAAATTATGAAGGTATTAGGTGGTTATATCTCATATTTTTCGATCCTAGTGAAACTATCTCAAACTTGAATTGTCGAAAGCACTCTAAAGTTCTGCATAAAGATAAAAAATCGTATTTTTTTTTTACTATCCTCCTTTCTAATTGCTGATGACTTTTTTTGTCAATTTAGGCACAAAGAACTATCTTAATTAAATATGGTATTTCCCATTCATATGTGTTTAATCTCGGTCGATTTTCAATTAATATTATCTAAAAAGAAATAGTTCATCAACACTATTAAAATATAACCTTCCTGTAGCGAATGTATAACGCAGAAAGCGTAATCGACTGATCGCTCGCGGGAAAATTTCTTTCATTACCGACAGCCATAGCGAACCACTGAGTTTTCTTTCATTATAAGTTTAATGCTGTTATATGAAAATGAAATGGAAATTCTACGGAACAAAGAATCTGCAGAATGTCATTATGTGTTCCTCGCAGAAGATTTAAAATAAATATTAATCAAAGTTAGAGAATATTATATAATATTAAGAATTTTTTAACTATTGTACAGAATACTAATGCATTTTTACACTCTCGAATACTTTAGAAAACAAAAAGTAATAAATCTCTCGTACAAGAAACTAAAGAAAAATGTTAATCCAATATTATACGATTTTACAAAAGAAATATGTATCAATCTCTGTCATTCTTCCACTCAATAAATTACATTTTATTCTTGTGTCATTCATTAAATATATATGAAGGAACAAAATACAAAATACAAAATAAAAGATAAATAAAACTCACGTTCTTCAAGAAATTATAAAATCGGTCAATGCGTACCAATTTATATATGTAATCTGCATTTATATTACAGTAATATAGATAAAATAAAACTCATGAATGTATAATGTACAAATTTTATAAAATTAAATATACGTTTATGTATTGAAAAACATCTATACTTTAGAATATACATAATTCTTCTCACGGCATAAACGAATACCATGCTTGTCAAATTCACTGTGCTCGTTCTCGATCGCCCTAGTTGTCGTTGAGGCTCTATGTGCGCTTAATCGATACGGTACTCGCATACAATTAAGAAACGATTACAGATACCGCGCGCACGGTAATGCGATGCTACAAGAGAGCTCAAGAGCGTACATCGTTCGTGTCATTTCCCCAATCAATATCGCGTTTCCACACGGGTTAGATTTTCACGATAAATTTCTTTCGTGTAAATATTGAGCAACTGGACGGAGGATATTCCGGAAGAATAATTGTGACCCGATAATGATGATACACCAACGTTGAACAAAATAATGATGATATCCAACAAAGTTTAGCGCGACCGAACTAAATCATTATGCGTTTTTACATGCATCAGCGATGATTGAAACCGGCGTAATTCTGGTAAAAATTAATGATTTCAATGCTATAGATATAAACATGAGCTGTATTTATTCGTAACAACGTAAACATTTTCTCTAGTAAAATATACCTTGTCCATATATCTATAACACCACAGTTTCATATTTATCGACGGTTTCCAGCCAATTTTCAAGCAAGTTTAATTACAAAAAGTATTTAATTGCCAATCTACATTTTTCAATAACCAAAATTTCATTTATGTAACATTTCCTGATAATTCAAGATAAATTTTATTAATATAATTTGGAATTTCATAACTCGGATTTTCCACAAACGCTCACTAAAAATTAATATAATTTTAACATTTCATTGTAAATTTTTTTGCAGTTATGTGTATTCAGGATTATATATACATATTTAGATGCTATCACAACGTAATTTTCATCGAGCAGCGTTCTCATTTCGATTTGTGTTGTGATAAGACTGAAATTCAGACCAGGTTAGTTATCCTAGTTTAGCGATTTGCTTATTCTTTTTTGGATTGTATAGTGCTACATTGAAAAAAAAATTGTTTAAATTATATAATTATGCTAGATTTTTTCTGACTTAGCA